TCGATTACACATGCACCGTATCTTTTCATCCAATATAATATTCCAAGGTCTAGTGACTTTGATTTAATTCAATTTAGGTGAAGTTATAGCTCACCGTTTTAATTTTGCCAAAAAGTCAAAGTCATGCAGAGTATCATACATAGTCCGATTATGTTCCATTCGTTATTGACTTTTTATTATATTTTGTTATTGTCAATAAAGATTGAATTTTCTAAAACGTAGAATATTGTTACCACAATAGAATAAAAATTACAATAGATTTATCACGTTACCCAAGCATTATGGAGACATGGGATGGAACGTGCAATGTAGTTACAAAAATCCTAACTATGAACATAGTTTGGCTATATATATATATATATATGTTTATATATATAATATTTATGCGTTGGTTGAAACCTAATTTGAAATCGAATGGAAATCATAACCATATAATCATAATTGCAACCTACTTATATAAAATTTAAAGCCAGTAAGGTGATACAATTCACCACTTTGGCTATATTCTATATATGTATCCTAACATAAAATTGAACGAATTCAAGATTTATTATCAATCAATCTGCATTTGCACCAATTAAAAAAAAAACACGCAATAACGTCATTCTAGTCTCAATTTGCAAAATTTCGTGTCCGGCCAAACATTAGGAGTTTGATGCACAATTTACCTAAAACCGGACGAAACTATATATATATATATATATATATATGGGAGCTATATCTAAATCTGAACCGATTTAAACTAAATCTGCCAATCGGAAAAATGTTGAGTCTTTATGCACAACTTAAATAAAATCGGAAGAAATAATATATATATATGGGAGCTATATCTAAATCTGAACCGATTTTCAGGAAACTTAAAACACATCATACTAGACCAGATTCGGTATGCTGTGCCAAATTTCGTGCAAATCGAGAGATATATAGGGACTTTAGTGCACCATTAACATTAAATCGGACGAAAATATATATGGCGCTATATCTAAATCTGGACCTGTTTTCAGGAAACTTAACACATATCAATCTCGACCTAATTCAGTGCGCTGTGCCGAATTTCGTGAAAATCGAAAGATATATAGAATATAGGGACCGTTTAAATTAAATTGGACGAAAATATATATGGGAGCTATATCTAAATCTGAACCGATTTTCACGAAACTAAACACACATCATTCTAGGCTTCATTCAGTACGATATTCCAACTTTTGGTACTTACATTAAATCTTAGGAAAATATATATGGGAGCTATATCTATGTCTGAAACGATTTTCAGGAAACATAGCGCACATCATTCTAGACTCAATTCAGTACGATATACCACATTTAAATCAATAGATGTCTAGGGACATTTGGTCACCATTTACATAAAATGAGATGAAAATATATATGAGAGATATATCTAAATCTGAACCGGTTTCCACGAAACTTAACACACATCAATCTAGATACTCTAATTCTAGAATGTCCCTACAAAATTTCATGTGAAAATCTCAATCTCAATCTCGCATTTTTCTCAAAACGAATGGCGGGCACAATAAGTCAAAAACTAATAATCCAATCGGTTCCAAATTTTGACACGTTTCTCTGGGCGTGTATAGCTCTCGTATGAACTAGGATATTATATTTTTTTTAAACTTAGTTTGTGGTCAAAAATAGGCAATTTTAAAGTTCCACCGTTGGAATTTTCGTATTCCGATGTTCCAGTGAGGAGTTATCATGCCTGCCATCAAAAAAAAGGACTTTTCTTTGATAACGAAAAACAACAACATTTTTTTTATACCCTCCACCATAGTATTGAGGGTATATTAGTTTTGTTTTTCCGTTTGTAACGCATCGAAATAATCATTTCCGACCCTATAAAGTATATATATTCTTGATTCTAAGACGATCTAAGCATGTCCGTCTGTCTGTTGTAATCACTCTAGCGTCTAAACGAATTGAGATAGAGCCCCAAAATTTTGCATAGAGTCGTCTTTTGTCTGCAGGCAGGTCAAGTTCGATGATGGGCTATATCGGTCCACGTTTAGGCATAGCTCCCATATAAGGGTACCTCCCATTTTTCGGTATTTTGAAATTCTTAAGCGTGTTTTTCAACCGAATTCGCTGAAATTTGGTACATTGGGTTCTTATTGGGTACTAAATGCCTCCACAAAAAATTATTAGCATAGGTCCACTTTTTCTGGTAGCCCCCATATAACGGTACCTCCTACTTTTCAGTATTTTGAGGTTCTTGAGAGCGTTTTTCAACCGAATTCGCTGAAATGGTACATTGGGTTCTTATTGGGTACCAAATGTCCCTACTAAAAATTATATATATAGGTCCACTTTTTCTGGTAGCCCCCATATAAGGGTACCTCCCCATAACCAGTTTTTGGGGGGTTTTGACCGTATTTCCACCGAATTGGCTGAAATTCGGTACTTTGAGTTCTTATTGAGTAGCAAATTCGCTGAAATTTGGTACATGGGGTTCTTATTGGGTACCAAATTTCTCCTCTAAAAATTATAAATATAGGTCCACTTTTTCTGGTAGCCCCCATATAAGGGTACCTCCCAATTTCCAGTTTTTGGGGGTTTTTGACCGGATTTTTTCACCTAATTGACTGTAATTTAGTAATTTGAGTTCTTATTGGGTAGCAAATCTCTTCACAAAAAATTATAAATATAGGTCAATTAGGTAGCCCCCATATAAGGGTACCCCCAATTTTCGATATTTTGAGGTTCTTGAGCGCGTTTTTCAACCGAATTCTCTGAAATTTGGTATTTTGTAGTCGTATATGGTAACAAATCTCCCCACCAAAAATTATTAATATTCACCGCTTTTTAGGGGTAGTCCCCATATAACCCCCTTTCTTATATTAAAATAGTTATCTGATTTGTTCCGTGTGTAGGGTTGGGTAGTCGTTACGGGGAATAGTCAATGTTTACCCTACAAAGACTATTTAGCCATAACAATTCCGTCTTCTAAAGATATTGTGATAAAAAAAACTCAAACATGATGATAATGAAATATATCGGCAGACATTTAGGCATATCCTCAATATAGTGATACCTCCTGAAGGAAAGAATTGAGATAAACAATTAAAATATTTGGTTCAAAATTGGCATATACCGGTCATTAATTAGGCATACCCTCATATGATGATATCCCCAAATATTCACTATTTCCTACACTATGTAATCAATATTGGTCCCTCTTTAGGCATAGCCTCATATAACTTTGTAATCTTAATTTCAGTAGTTTGAGGATTTTATACTCTACAATGCGTTATCAATATCAGTCCACTTTTTGGATCTTACAGATTTTAGGAAAAATCCCCATTAAAAATTGCCGAAGTTTGTATTTGATGTACATAATGGTTTACATAAATCGGTTTGTATTACCGATAAAACATGCCCACTTTTTAGATATGCCCACTTTTTGGTATGTTCCCTATATTTTCATTGCATGTATCTGTCAGTATAACTATGGTGGAGGGTATCCAAAGTTAGGCCCGGCCGAACTTAACGCTTTTTCACTTGTTTTTTTTTTTTGTAAATTATTTTTCTTCCTTTTTAAATCTTCAAATATATATGTGCAAATTTACAAATTAGTATTCATATACCAGCCCATTTAAAATCTTAAGAATAGAAAATCGAGAAAGGGGGGTCCCTTAAACCACTTTCAAAATAACCGAGATACATATGAGATACGTACACTGAAGGCCGAGGGTTGGCTTCGAAAGTTTTTTTTTCTTAAAATAAGTTAATTTTGTCATTTCCGGAAAATGAAGCCTATGTAGGTCCACTTTTTGACACAGGAGGCCCCCGCCACATAAGCCGGCGTGTAAAGTTTCGTTAAAATCGGTTGAGATTTATATATAGATATTATTTGACAGGGATTTCATGGAAAACCAAAGGCTTTTGCCATTATGTTACCTTCCGTTCACAGCGAGCAATCTACTGAGATTGGAAAACATCCAAATTTTTGCAATTTTTCGCTATAGATTGTTACTACAATCTTTCTGTCACACAACAGAATTTATTTTCCACAAACGTCATTATTAACATAGCATCGTAATTTGCAACTTTTGTTTAAATAATCTACTTCTTCATGGTCACTAAGCATAGAACAGTACCACTGAAATTGTGCCACACGAGCCAACACTTGTTTCAACAAAATAGTAGCTGCCCGCAATCGGGCATATAAATAGTGGCCACTTATGTTGCAACATGACAGTACGTTTTTCACACATCAATCTCTCAACAACATCAAGCTGAACCAAGTCGATATGGTATCATCGCATTGGTTAATTCTAACTATTGTCATTATTATGACAATCCTAGCTGTTACTCCGATTGCTGAAAGTACCATCATTTTACTGGCTTGTTTAGCAGGATCAGCATTGTGTCCTTTTTCTACAACAACTACTGCAGCGCCGTAATAACATTCAAATTATGTATAAAATAATACTTAACAAAAAGTGAAAGTCAAAATAAATACAAAATTTCAAATTAAGCTGTTTATTTTTCTTTTAATAGAAATTCTGGCGAAGTAATATCATTTGTTGGTAAATCGTTTTTATTCAAGAAAAACAAGAAACTAAGTATGTGTTTTGTTTCTACTTTATTTAAAATTGTCTCAGAATTTTGAATTTATCACATGAACAATAATTACGATTACTTGCAAATACAAATACAAAAGCTGTACCAGCATTATCAAATAAATGCTTATCCTTTGCCAATTGAATGCCGGCTGTAAGGGAACAATTTAATTCCTCATGCCAAGAATTTTCGAAATTATTTTCCAAAAATGTTGCCATGAAAGCATCATTGAAATTTGTCAATTTGCGATATAGATTCGCATTGTGAATAACGGTAATAATATTAACATACGGAGAGAATTTCAACCATCGTTCGATTTCATTGGGCGCCATGTCAATTGCCACATCAACGATCATTAACTTACATTGAAAATGTTGAATGTGTTGAAGTATTTCCAGCTCAAAAGGATTTTGAAATGGGAACTTCATATCATCCGTCGTCTTAAAATTTGATATGTATTCCGGACGTTGTATATACCAGGGAAAAGTACGTTGTGCAAAATCTTGAGCTAATTTTTTACGTACTACAATATCACGTTGAACATTTATTAATTGTTCATCTATAGGTATTATGGTAGGGACTGGTGTTCGATATGACATCTGTTCGAAATCCTCGATTGTTGAATTGTCTTCTTCTTGTGGTTTAAGTTTTATATTGGTAGCACCCAGTTCCAAGGGTTTTTCATAATCGCCAAAACATTTTGCTGCCAATAAACTATGAGCCCATAAATTATCAAATTTTATGTGGGGATTAAAATATGGCGTTTTATTTCTATTTTCATTTTCACAAATATTCTCCTCAAGAATAGCGGGCCAAATAAAATCCAAAAATGATTCTCTAATTGTTGTTTTAGAATTATCCATAATGAAAGATGGAATGTTTTTGGGTCCCACAAAAAAAAAAGAAATTAAAAATATTTGGCATAAAAATAAATGTGTGCTAGAACATACGTATATTTCTGACTAAGAGGGGGTTTAACACTAGAAATACGGGAATTTTGTATATACCTATATTGCCTAAAAGCGGTCAAAATGACCTCATTCTGAAAGAATTTTTATTGTATAAAGAAAATTTTTTAAACTTAGTTTCTAATATTTTTTATATTATTTACAATCATACAAAACGTTGTTATTATTTATCTTCGGTGGTAGGGCTCTCGAGTTTCCCCTTTTGAAAAATAAGAGCGCGGACAAAGTGCTCGAAAAAAAGGAAGTCTTTACTCTAAGAGTGTAATCGACTGGAAATATAAAATGTATTTTTCTCGATTTGTGTCTATGTTTGTGTTTCTAGAGTAGCAAACGGTTTTCGATGTTGTTGTACTGATCTGGTCATATAAGAAATTTACTTTATACAATAATAAAAGTAGTTTCATTATTTAATATTTCACAAGAGGTCAAAATGACCGATTTTAGGCAATATAGGTATAGCACATGTGAATGAAAGAGGGGAGGAAGCTGCTACTATGATTAATAAACGTAGTTCTATGTGGTACAAAAAGTCACCAAATTTTAAAAAACTGTGTCATAATATACACAATTGTTATTGTACTTGAAATTGAAAAAGGTCAAAATGACCGCCTTCGGCAATCTAGTGTTAAACATGCAATTTTTGTACGCAATCTGCTACAGCTCTTTAGTCTGGGTTTATAAGTGCAACTTTTGTAAGCAACTCTGGGGAGTTCTTAGAAGTGAGAGGTATAAAAAGTGACAAGCGGGAAGAAATTCAAAAGAGAATCGAAGAGAGCAGCAGCAGAGTTGCTTAAAGGGGTGCTCTAAAGGGGGGGGTTTCATTTCCCCTTTCCATAATTGTTTGAAAACGTATTTAAAATGGGGTTATAGCAGATAAAAATATTCTACAAAAATGTTTGCCATAGTGTTTTACTATAAGTCTCAGAGTAAAACAAAACTCAAAAATCATCCATTAACGTCAAAAATCTTAAAAATATGAGAACTTATTTTAGGGTTAAATCCGACCTTATTATAACCTCCACCATAGTATGGAGGGTATATTAATATTGTTTTTCCGTTTGTAACTCATCGAAATGATCATTTCCGACCCTATAAAGTATATATAGTATAAAATTCTATGACGATATTGCCATGCCCGTCTGTCTGTTGTAATCACTCTAGCGTCTAAACGAATTGAGATAGATCGCCAAAATGTTGCATAGAGTAGTCTTTTGTCTGCAGGCAGGTCAAGTTCGATGATGGGATTTATCGGTCCACGTTTAGGCATAGCTCCCATATAAGGGTACCCCCCAATTTTCGGTATTTTGAGGTTCTTTCAACTGAATTCGCTAAAATGTGGTACTATTGGGTAGCAAATCTCTCCACTAAAAATTATAAATATTGGTCCATATTTTCGGGTAGCCCCCATATAAGGGTACCTCCCAATTTCCAGTTTTTGGGGGGTTTGACCGGATTTTTTCACCGAATTGGCTGTAATTTTGTAATTTGAGTTCTTATTGGGTAGCAAATCTCTCCACAAAAAATTATACATATATGCAATTTTTTTCGGGTAGCCCCCATATAAGGGTACCCCAAATTTTCGATATTTTGAGGTTCATGAGCGCGTTTTTCAACCGAAAAAACCGACAAAACAACCGACAAAATTGGTATTTTGTAGTCGTATATGGTAACAAATCTCCCCACCAAAAATTATTAATATTCACCACTTTTTAAGGGTAGTCCCCAGATAACCCCATTTTTATACCCTTCACCACACTCTGGTACAGGGTATTATGTCTTTGTGCGTATGTTTGTAACAGGCAAAAATAATCGAGATAGACCCATGGTTCCTTTTGAGAAAATGCATAGAATCACTTTCTAAGTCGATTTATGCATGTCCGTCTGTCCGTCCGTCCATGTATTTTTGTAGGCAAAGTACAGGTCGCATATGATCCGAATTGGATGAAATTTGGCACAGCCCATTTGTTTGGCCCAAGGACGAACCCTATTGAAATTGGAGAAAATCGTTCGCCCGATTTTTGGTAAATGGTGCACCAAAGTCCCTGAAAATCATTAGATTTGCACGAATTTTATGTAAAAGCCGCATTTTCTGTAAATGCCCCACCAAAAGCCTCCTTTATCTTTCGATTTTTGTATAGCGTACTGAATTAAGTATAGAATGAAATGTGCAAAGTTTCGTGAAAATCGGTTCAGATTTACATACACCTCCTATATAAAGATCCATAGTTAGGCCGATTGACACAACGTACTGAAGTTAATATAAATTAATCACTGATAAGTTTCCTTGAAATCGGTTCAGATACAGACATATAGCTTCAGATATAGATTCCATATATAATTTCGACTTATTCGTGTTAATTGTACACCAAATTGATTGATTGTGTCAAGTTTTCTTTAAATCGATGTATAAAATTTAGCATAGGTTGTAGAATGACATGTGTAGGGATTGATGTTAGTCGGTTTAGAGATAGATAAAGATCACAATGTTCCTTCGAAAAGGCGAGAATATGCCCAAAGTGGTGAAGGGTATCATATAGTCGGTCCAGTCCGACTTTACTACTATCCTTACTGGTTTTTATTTGGTTCAAATATCTATGTAGATCACACATTTAGTTTCGCCCCATTCCATTTCAATGGTCCTCTAAAAATTATATGTCTGTTTTATTTACAGGGTATTGTATATATTAGCATCTCTTGTATGTATCCAAAGTAGTTAAGGGTATCATTTTGACTGTTAACAAAATATGTAGGTTCTGGAACGAATCATATAAACAATTTTTTTAATTATCAGCATTTCTTCACAATTTCTTGTTAAAAAAATGTCAAGCCATTTAGTTCCTTTGGCAGAAATTAGCAAACGATTATCGCAAAAATTAAATCCCTCCGTCTTGCGAAAACTACGACATGCCCATATAACTTTAGTTCAATTGCAGCAGAGGGCTATTTTGGAGAAGTACGGAGAATATGATTCCAATGGTCATATTGTGAAAAATAAAAACTATATTTCAACCCAAAATGCTGAATATTCTCCAAACCTGAATGATGACAGCGATGATTATTCATTGGGCGAAGAAGAATTTGAAAAGGTAACAATTGAATGTGAAAAAGTGTCTGAAGATGCCTGGTTAGGATATTTCAATGGCTATGAAATATTGAATAGGGATGAAAAACTCCATTTAAATGGAAACAAGCAATGTGTGGAACTTGGTCATAAAAATTGTGATATTGGTACCTTGGAAGAATACTTTCGTGCAGGTATTTGCTGCTTTTATGTGGATTTATTTTTGGGTAGCGAAATCGATAAACAAAAATTGATTTTCAATTTACGAAATTGTGAATTGAAGATATCTCAAGAATTGGGATTTCCGATGAATGTCAGTTTGTTTGCCATGTTAAGTCCTCGTTGTCAATATACAGGGATTTTCACAGAGCCAAATGATGTTTATAAAATGGAAAAGGGTGAACTACTCACCTTAACTACAGATCGTCAGTATTCTTTAAAAGGGAGCAAAACGAAGATCTACGTAAATGGACGTTTTCTAATTGATGAATGCCACTTGGGTGATTTTATTCTGATTGGCCCCACTCTTCAAGTTCGTATAATTTCCATTATCTCCGGGGATCTAAATTGTGAGGTAATGCAACCAGGTATATTGCATTCAAAATCTCCCGTACGTTTTCCTGGTAGATGCAATCGCAGTAGAGTTTCAGTTGAAGAAATTGAGGATATTACATTTGCCCGGGAAATGGGTATCAATGTATTGGTGTCCTACATACCGGGCACTGAATTATATTTGAAGGAGTTACAGGAGGTGCTACAACTTTTAGAATGTGATAATATGCGTCTTGGTTGCAGAGTGGTGTTAAATGAAATCCACAATAGTGAAGATGTACAATGGATAGTGGATGGTTATGATATGTTTGTTATGGAATTCACCATGGCTCCTAAACAAGAGGAATATCAAGGAACTGCATTACGACATGCTGCCACAGATTCTCAGATTTTGTACCTATCATCCGCAGCTAAAGATTTTATAAGGAATATCTACCAACAAAAGAAGGCCATAATTATGAATACCACGCTCATTGCAACAAATCAGCTTTTTGTGGATCCAAACAACTGGTATGAGATTTTCTATTATGCCGATAAATATATCATTAAAGATGATCAGGGTGGTCATGAATCATTTCGTTTTCATTTATTACAACGTGCTGTATTCCAACACATAATTCCATTGCTGTGGTCCTCCACACCGTTGTATTGTGATGAATCTCAAAGTGGCAGTGATAGTATTGCCAGGGCCTGTGTAGCATCATCGCTGGAATGTAATGCCGCAGCAATACTTATATGTGCCGTTTTACCTGATATGCCAATTAAACTTGCACACTTTCGTCCAAAAGTTCCAATTCATTTCATATCTCCAACAAAGTCATCTGCTGAGTTTGTGACTCTTTATCACAATGTAATATATCTTTATCAGAATATGGCGAGGAGACATCGTGAATTTGTGTTGAAGGGTTTTCTTTGTGGTCTGTCGTATTTACATTGCCGAAAACTTGTAACAGAAGGTCAAAATGTCATATTAATGTATAGCCATGACGAGTGTTCCGATTTACCAGATAAATATGTAATTTTTAAATTTAATAATGGAAATTTGTTGGAAAATTTAAATCAATTGTTATTCAAATAAATTAAATGTAAAAGGCGAACTCCACCTTGAGTAGACAACAAACTACCGTTTTTGGTGGATATGCTATACCCAATGGGCAAATACCCGGAAAATTGGTTAAATACCAAATTTTGGTAAGGTCATTTTTATCGATTGGCGACACTTTACAATCAAATTGGCTGTAATTTGGCACAGAGAGTTTCCTACGGGAAAATACTCGGTTTT